CACTGATCATGTTTGTCAACACTGTTCTTGTTAGTACCGATATACTATATATAGATCTTATCGCTTATGACAGATAAGAGTCATTTAAGACTCAACTGCTTTCTTGTCGGGACTTTTCTTCTTTAAAAGCAAATCTATCTTCTTAGCCAATTGTCTCTCAAAATAAATGGCTACTGCAGAGTCTTCTCAAGGTTCCAAACTTCTTCAGCCCATTAAAACTGTGTGCGTTCTTGGGGGTTCTAGGTTTGTACTATTCTCCCATAACATCTATGTTGTAAGTCAACTAGTGAAAGAGTTGGGAAAACATAAAATCAACATACTTTATGGAGGAACTAGTATCTATTTCTTTAACAACCTCTTAATGGCTGCTAAATGCTTTGATATCGAGGTGAGAAGTATCCTTCCTTTTTATCTTACTTCCTCAAATATTATCAAAGATTCTGCTACTTTGATGATAACTCTTTCAATTTATGATTGTTTAATGTCTATGATATCTGGTTGTGACGATGCTTTCATTGTTCTTCCTGGTGGATATGGAACTTTAATGACTGCTTTTACCCTTGCTACTTGGCAGAAGTGAAATTTCATACCAAACCTATTGGTTTGTTGAATTTCAAAAACTTTTTCCACAACTTTATTGGATTTCTAGATATAAGAGTGTATCAAACTTCTATATCTCCTTTCCAAAGAGAAATATTCAAGTCTGCTGACACTTCCTCTGAACTTATCAAGAAGCTTCAAAACAGCATCTCAACAGTTCAAGATTATGTGGAAACTCTAGGATTCAAACGCAAGCGAGCATTTGATCCTTTAGATCTATCTTTGTGAAACTGCAGCCATGATGGGTGGCAGAGTTATAGACTCTTGTGCTCTTGAGACGCACCCTCCCTTTATGCAATATAACTTTGTACTAGTTGAGAATTCCTTTATGCTTATCTGTATCTCCTTTTTCTGATATTTCTGTACTAGCTTCTTAGAAATAAGGAAATTCTCAACAGTGTGCTCAAATCTTTGTCTTGCTTTTGACTTTCAATGATATTTGAATTTCCATCTGTCAAGTAAATTAATTGTGCAAAATATACTCTTCTCATATATACTTGATTCACACATCAATCCTACTTGTTTCTGGACTGAGACAACTTCTTTATTCAGTCAAGATTCTATGCTTCTTAAACTTTACTCCGTTGTGGTCTTGAAACTTTGCCTCGCCGCATTCTGGAACCACTAACTATATGACTTGTACAGTATAACCATTAATAAATAGCTACACTAAACTTTAAGGAAATTGTTAATTTTCCGAAAACACCTAGCTTGTGCTAGAGTTCCGGTTAATCTATCTTTTTTTTTTTTGCTTCTTCTCGCCATTTCTTACTTATGGCTTTAAACTCATCATTTATCTTTGGGGACAAATACTTTCTCCTAAGAGATAAAAACATATTAATCTTTACTTATTAAACAAACTATCTTTAACTTTCTCATATCCAGATTACTCTTGCCTAACTTCAAAAATTCTTTTGAGAAGTTTAAATAATTATCTCGGTATCTGGAATGTAATACTTATTAACTGATATCTTTTAAGGTTCGATTTCAAGTCCCCAGGTAACTCGGACTAATAACCCTTATTTTAGGTTTCCTTAATTTTCCCGGCTACGTGACTATTATATGTCGATACCTTAAACTTATACTCATTGATTTCTGAAAAGTACTTTGTTTAGTTGTACTGTTACTAACAAGTACTAATCCAAAATAACTTATAACTTAATCTCGAACTTTGCCAATTTTTAGCTCATGATATCTAACTGATCAGATATCAAAACTTCTGACTTATAAAGATTGACTATTTTGTGAAACTTTATTTCTACGGTTCAGTTTCAAGCCTACAGGATCTTATCCGGTTTTTGGTTCTTATTTCAAACCCCCATGATTTACCCGTACTTTTTGGCTATTATATAATGAAATACCGTTACTTCTGATACTTGGCTCATAATCAACCTTTATAGTCAGATCTTAACTCAAATCTTAATCTGATGGCTTAACTTAGAATGTTCGAGTTTCTTTCTTGATCTAGTTAACTTGATAAACTAGATTTCAAACTTTAATACTAATCTGAACATATAGACTGATTTCTCGATTTCGGATATCTGAATTCTTACTGAGCATAGACTTAGTAAATTTGAATATATTTAAAAACTTTTATAAAAACTTTTAACAACAGTTACCTGGTAGTCAGCGTGGTGTGAGCGAGATGTGGTCGGGTTTTCTTGAAATTCTCTGTAAAAACTTTAGCTTCTCTGAAAACTTTCTCTTTCAGAACTTAAACTTTTAGTATACAGAGCATTTAAAACTCTAGCACTGATACCACCTGTAACACCCCGCTCATCAGAGTAACTTTTTCGCAACTTTTACTTCGAAAATACTTATAAATTTTTCGAAATCTTTTGCGACTAACTCGAGATGCTACTCAAACTCGTCTTCTTGAAAATCTATTTATCTTTAAACTTTTGTCTAATACTTCTTTAGACATAAAGAAGACAGATTTCCTTTAAACTTGCATTTAACTGTACCATATTCATACTTCTCGAAATGGTAAAAACTTGAAATCTGAAATTTATTAAAAATGCAAGTTCAATACTTAATGTGCATAGCGGAAATACTTGAAAACATAATTAATTATACAGACTGTTATAAATGTCCATATAAAAGCTTTGTCATAATCTGAGTCCACGATCCACATCAACACTGCTCCACTCACACCTCCTCTTCGACCTGTTACCTGAAAATAAACTCATGAGGGTGAGTAACGAATAAATATAATCATAAACCGATATTTGATCGGTAACCAGAAATCTGTTCTGGTACTGAAACTTAAACTTTTCTCTTCTCTTCCGATATCTGATTGGATACGTATGCACACTCTGATGGATATTTCTCAAGGCAACTCAAGCGGCCTCCATCAGAATTTAGGATATACTCTGAGACATTTGAATGCCTCCTCATCCCAAGCGTAAAAACTTAAACATTAGGATATACTCTGAGACAACTGATGGTCTCCTCATCCCATATAACATCAATATTGTACTCAATGTGATACCCATTCAGGGTCCCCACCTTTCTTCTTTTGAAAACTCTAAGTGTTGTTCTGTAGTTGTATCTGCAAGCTACATAAAAATATAAACAAATATACTAAGTACTATGCTCGTATACTCAATAAGATTTAACTCTTACTTATCCGAATCATAAAGATATTCAAAAAGCTTAATATGTCTCAAATAAATATTAAATCATCAAACATCGTAACTTTTTCTTAAACTTTTACTCAAGGTTAATTACTTAACCTTATATAAATCATATCTTCAAAATCATATATATTAGTTTATACTCGCATGTCACTTAAATAACTCGAATGTGAAAATAAATAAGTTTCACATTAAACTTGATTGAATACATGAACTCAAAACATGCTTATCTTTTACCAACATCATATTCATGATTTATAAACTCATCTTAACTTAACGTGATCTTTTACTCAATCAAATACTTAATTCACCATACATCATATCTCCCAATTTTTAGATATTGACTTATACTAAATTTTCACTTAATTAACTTGAAAGTGAAAATAAACTCAAGTCATACTTCAACATTTAATCATGATATTAATATGTCATACTTAATACAATCTTTATAAGATTATATATTCAACATATTAAACTAAAACTTTGCCAAATTTTTCATCACTTATATGAGAATTGATCATAATAATCTCACTTTAATAACTTGATCATATCATGAATATTCTTGCATATATACTCATCTTTACATATATGCCTTGTAATTATCATAACTCATACATTTCTCATCTTAAAATCATGAAATTTAACAGCCATAATCTCAACTAATAATTAGACATGTCATAAAAATTTCATAATTTTAGCATGCATATACATCAAGTTATTAGAATTTAAAGTCATAGTGAACATAAACTTCATCTTGCATGTTCAACTTCAAAAATTCATAACTTAAGCTATACTTTGCCAAATCACTTAATTCTTGTTCTCATATACTCCTCTTTTACATAAGAATCATTCATTTAAATCATACAATTCCAGCTTATTCATATCTTTATCAACATATCATCAAATCAAGCACATATATCATATAATTGATCTTGAACAACTTTAACTCTTTATATTCATAGAATCAATTATAATCTCAACTTCTAAATCATGATATACATACTTATAAACATGTAAACTCATTATCAAAACATGAACATAAGCATGTAACTTTAAGATAAGTAAATTACCTCCTTCTTGCTAGAGTAAAACTTGATTCTTTACTTCAAATTCTTCACTTCTCCACAATTTCTACTACTTATATCTCTTACACTCTTATATAACTTTTGGTACTTATCTTTGGTGTAAGAACTCTGATTTTAGGCCTCTATTTATAGGCATAAATTCAAGACATCAAGATTGAGTGAAGAAATGAACAAAATAAACAATTTAAACTTATAAACTTAATTAATCATAAACTTTTTTATGATTAACTTGTATACTTCTCAAAACATATATAATCATAAAAAATGGCCTCTGGTTGAGATCACAATCGGATTCTCAATGATCAAACCTTACTGTTGGTCACACGACTCGTATGGCTATGTCACACGACTCGTGTGACTCCACACGACTTGTGTGGCTTGTCACACGACTCGTGTGAAAAATTCGAAGCTAACTTTCATTCTCATCTCCTCCCACACGACTCGTGTGCCTTGTCACACGACTCGTGTGGCTCCTCAAACGAATCGTGTGGCTAGTTCCTTGATCAACTCTTAATTTCGAACCGATAACTGAATATCTTGGCCTCGAAATCCTAAATCTTGGAACTAAAACTATCACTTTCTTAATAACTGAGAGGGATATTACATGGACGCGCGCCTGGTGGCTCGGCAGCTACGCGTGGCTCGCGGAGGGTGAGGCTCCTTGCTGCGTGATCGAGAGATGGCGAGTCTGTTAGCCGGTACTTACACGCGAACAGATGTCGTGCGCGAGATGGGAACGGGACGTCGCTGGCTTGCGAGGCTTTGCCGGGTGAACGTGCGCGTGATCCACGGTAAGGGACGACGCGCAGTGGAAGGTGGGGCCGCCGGCGGCTTGCGATCGACCGAGAGAATACGACGGGGTGTGGCGACCAGATATAGAGTGGAAAAGAAGACAGAGCGGCTGAGGGGAGTAGGGTTTTGAGAGAGTAAAGTGAGGAGGAAGCACATATATATAATACTAGGGCATCCAACTTGCCAAACAAGAAAGAAAGAGGCGGGTCGTGGGCGTGGGTTATGGACGCGCGAGTCGCCGGTTCGTGCGGGTTTGGGTCGTGCGGGCCAAAGGCCATAACATGCGGCTCGATTCTCGATTATTCATCTCGGTTCACTTAGTCCAAAAATTAGACGACGATCGGAAAATAAAATAAATATGATGACCGAGAAAAATTAAAAAAACTCAACCGACAATATATATATATATATATATATATATATAGGGTCACGCTCCGGTGAGAATAATGCTTAATGCGAGAAATAAGAATACATCTTACCCATCGGATTGAGTGATCCAGCGGATAAAAAAACCCAGCATCCATACATTTATTAAGGACCACAAAGTAATTTCTCAACACATTGAAACCAACTCCATTCAAACAACCCACACGTGACTGGGTCCCACTCCACTAACAAATCCCTCTCAACCTGCGTCTCTATCTGTCTCACCTCAACTTTCTCTTTCTCTCTTTTTTTCTCTCTCACACAGACAACACACAGACTCAGCACACACAAAACTCACACACACAGCACGCACAAAACACGCACACTCAGCATACAAACGCGCGTGTACCCGTCGAAAAAATCCACGCCAGCCCAGCCACCGGAGCCGCCGATCGAGGCTGTCCACTGCCGGCTTCCGGAGCTCCAGCGCCGCCGGTTCGTTAGATTCCCGTCATAGAGGCCGGCACCGACATCCGCAACCAATGTCCGCCACTCCAGGCCCGCCGTAGCCACCGCCGCGTCTTCTTTCATCTCCCGACATCCGCCGTGCTCCACCACGTCCCGCCAATGATCAACCCTCTTTGCCGACGAGAGGTGGTGGAAGAGAAGCTCGCGACCAATATGCTCCGACTGTTCGAGGGAAGTCCACGGTCAAGCTGCTCCCCGTTCGATGATGTCCGGCGACATAAGAGGAATAAAATCTGGCGGTCGGCAGTTTCAGAAAAATGGCTAGGAAGGGGGGATTTTTTTTGTAAATTTCATATCTTGAAAGGACCTAATTGTAAAGTATGAAGTTTTAACTATATTATAATTAAGTCCATGGGCTAAATATATAATTTATAGAAAATATATAAAAATAATATTTTATATATATATATATATAAACATCTTTTTATACATACATATATTATATGTGTTTCATCCAAAAGTAATATAAAAATTGATCAAAAATATTAAAATATTGAATTATTTTTAGGGTTTCATTTTTTTTTTTAAAAAAGTTAGATAGTGCTCAAGGACAATCTTGCAATTCTATTAATTTTGATTATTTTTCTAATTAAGTTCATGACCAAATTTTTAATTTATAGCAATATTCTCATAAATGCATATTAATGATAAATAAGTGTGCAATGATTAAAATTTTTAATATCTCAAATTTTAATATATAAAAAAATATTTAAATAATAAAAATACTCTTATAGTAATAAATAATAACTTATTTAAACTATTAAGGTTCATTCGACGTACAATTATATCAACTAAAACTAGTTTCAAAAGGCACATAATTTATACGTGATCATATAAAGTAGTGCACTTTATATACCAGCACGCTGCACATTATAAAACAAGGCGTTGCACTTTATAAAACAATCCGTTGCACATTATCACCACACTACACAATTATTGTTAGTAGTTATCATGAAAAATATTACGCAATATAAATTTAGAAAAATGGATCTACATAATATTTTAATATTCATGACATCGTCTATACACTAAAAAACACAAGAATGATAACGTACCAAAATTTCACTTTTGCATTTTATATATCAATACGTTGCACTTTATACAACGATACGGTGCACTTTATAGCACAACATGTCGCACCTTATAAAATAGCACGCTACGCGTACAAAAAATACGATAATTCTGCTAATCGATCGAATAATATTAGTTGGTTAAATGTTGGATTTAGTCTTTTTAAATAAATTAAATAACTGAACATACCGAACTATATGAAAAAACACAAACAGGCTGACGTGCCAAAAATAACACGCTATATCAATACGTTGCACTTTATACAACGACTATACAAACATGCTAACGTACCAAAATTTCACATTTGCATTTTATAAATCAATACGTTGCACTTTATGCAATGATACGATGCACTTTAAAACACAACATGTCGCACCTTATAAAATAACACGCTACGCGTACAAAAAAAATACGATAATTTTAATAATCGATCGAATAATATTAGTTGATTAAATGTCGGATTTAATCTTTTTAAATAAATTAAATAACTGAACATACCGAACTATATGAAAAATATTACCAATTCTTTTTTATGTATATATTTGTTTATGAATTATAATACTGTTTTTTATCTATATTTTTTGTATGAGACGCGAGTGCGCATTATGGTTATACGAGTTGCACATAAATGTCTACCAAATTGCACAAAATCAAACGAGATCAAACGAGCATGAATTCGGTACGAAATTTTATATTTTGTTTCGATGATTATTATTATTATTATTTAATATATCGAGTATTTCGGTATGATGATATTTTTTTTTATTTAAATACCAAAATAAGAACCAAACTATATTAAACATTTTATCTTATATATTTTGTATAAAAATATTAAGCTATAATTTTCTATTGAAATATAAAAAATTAATTAGTATTATTTTATCAAATTATATAAAGTAACAATAATTATTAACATATTTCTTTTTATTTTTTTTTAATATTTTTTTTGGTTTAGCAGGACAAAAGCTTTGAATGTGTGACAGATCTGGCGGAGGCGGTGAAGAAGCCGAGCCGCGGCCGGGCACTCAGCGAGTCCTCCAATTCCCGCCCATTCTTCATAAAATCCGGCGACTATGGAATCCTTGACGGCCAAACGCAACGTAGCTCCGAAAAATCCCCGCCTACCCTGCGGCGCCGCTCACACGCCGGAAAAAGAGCCTGTGTTCACAAAATCGACGAGCTCTATCCAAAGCCCAAGAGTAAATCCACTAGCCTCTCTTTCATGGTGTAAGTTATGTGTTGCCTTTTTTTTTTGTTTTAATTTGAAGTTAACCAGAAAAATCAAAGTGTATAATTTAGCTTTTCCCCCAATTTTTTAGACTTCTTATGATAATGTGTAGGATTCTGCAGAAGGGGCGGGATTGGTGGCGGTGGCTGTGGCGGGGGCTGGTGGCGGCAGTGGCGGGTTTTTTGGGTGCTTGTGGTGGCAGCGGGCTTTTGTGGTGGCAGGGATGGTGGCGGGGGCAACATGGCTGACGGGGTTGATGACAACGGTGGTTGATGACGTAAGCGACATGGCCGACGGGCCTGGTGACGGCGTCAGTCCGATGACGACGACCACTGCGGCGACAGTGGTGGCGGCGGGCTGAGAGTGTGGCTGAGGTGGTGGCGGGCGGCTGAGGGATGTGTGTGTTTTATGTGTAGTGTGAGAGAGAGAGTATGGTTAGTGGGGTTGGTGGTGGGCCCATGTGTTTAATGAGTAATGTCTATTCTACCCTTAGTAAGTGGTCAAATGTATAAATTTGACCACGAAATGTACATTTATTTACGTAATTGTCACACATGTTTGACTTCTGTTTTTAAATTTTGACTTAATAATAACCATTGATATGCTTGATCCCATGGTCTAGACTTATTCTCATTTCTCGCATTAAGAGTCATTCTCATATGATCCTTTCTCTCTCTCTCTCTCTCTCTCTATATATATATATATATATATATATATAAAACTCAAACAATAATATCACTTTGGTAATTAAATTCAAATAATAATAATTATGCCAATGAAAATATAAAAAAAAAATCCATAATCGAACAGGGCATTATAGTCTACCCACCTTAAAAAGAATTCCGTCCTTGGGATTAGAAACAAAAGGAACTAAAAAGCAAAGGAATACATGGGAAACTCAAAACATGAAGTTCGGGTATCCCCTCTTAATATCAGCCTCAATCTCCCAAGTCGCCTTAGACTCATCATGTCGGCTCCACTGCACCTTCACGAGACTCAGTGCCCGGTTCCTCAGCTGATGGACTTTCCAGTCCAGTACGACCACCAGTACCTCATCATAGGCAAGGTCTCTCTCGACCTGCAACTCGCCGAAGTCCACCACGTGGTCGGGGTCATGCACGTACTTACGCAACATCGAGACGTGAAACACATTGTGCACCCCCGACAAGTCTGGCGGTAAAGCAAGCCGGTAAGCCAAGTCCCCGACTCGTGCAAAGATCTAAAAGGGCCCGATATAGCAAGGTCGAAGCTTCCCTTTCTTTCCGAAGCGAACCGCACCCTTCATGGGTGCGACCTTCCGAAGACATGATCGCCAACCTCATACTCAAGCTCTTGCCTCTTCCGAAGACATGATCGCCAACATCATACTCAACCTCATACTCAAGTCCTTCGGTGTCATACGGTAGGGTGCCTTCGACACGGACCAACTCTAGGTACTAAGTTGATAGTGAAATCGACCTGACGATCCGACGGTCCACCTGTCAACTGCTCCGGAAACACATCAAGGTACTCGCAGATAATCGAGACCCTCTTCGGAGTCCGCTCAGTATCCTCATTCACCATACTCACTAGATAACCTTGATAGCTACCCTTCGACAAACTCTTCATTGCTTTGAGAGAAGAGATGACTCGAGGCACAGTCCTCGACTTCACCCCATAGAGTAAGATAGGCTGATCGTCGTCGGAATAAATAGTAACTTCTCGCTCCTCACATCGAATGTCAGCTCGATAACGAGTGAGCCAGTCCATGCCAAGGATTACATCGAAATCGCACATATCAATCACATAAGTATCGGCCTCCAAGACTCGTCCTCCAATGTCGACTCGCAGGCCATGGATCATAGAATCAGAAACCAAGCCATTTGAGGGCCCTACCTCGACCTGTTGGCGCGTCTTGTAGTCGGTGGAGTCACTACCGACTTGATGCTTCAACGACGAGTCGACTCATTATGGTATCACATATGAAAGTTGTTTGGAGGACTAGAGAGAGTGCAAAAGTTTTACAATTTTCCACAAATGAAATTTGTAACATTTATAATTTGTAATTTGTAACATTTATAATTAGAATATCATTTAAGGTTTATTATTATTGAAGGATACTAAGTTTGTATATAATATTTGACATGCGGATAATTTTTCATAAAAATTATAATTTTTATCTCATGATTGGAGATAGTCAAATCCAGGCCCGGCCCTGGCCCAGGGCCCCATTAACTGAAGGGCACCAGGCCTGGCCCATATTCATGTTTAAAAGTAATTTGGCCCAAGTTTAAAATTGCTTTTGATGACTACAGTTTAAAATCACTTATCAATACAGTTTTTTCTTTAAAAAAAAGCCCTGTTAAAGCTTTCATACATCCAAGCCCAACTTGAGTATCCACAAAATTAATGCACAAAAAATTATGAGCTTAACATAAAGGATTTATAGTGAGCATTTATATAAAATTACTTAAGCTAAATTAATTTTATGGCCGTTGCAAATGAAGGACACTTGAGTGCTATTTATAGAGTTTGAGAAATTAGATAAAATATATCTTGATTTCAAAGTATATTCACGGATAACAATTTACTTGTACAATACCCATATACTACATGGGTGATTGTTATAAAATTTATACTTATAATTAAAAAATAATAAAAAAATTGTTTCTAATTTTTTCATCATCCATTAATTACTTATAATTATTGGGACAATGCATATGCTCAAAAGATGAAAACAGAAGTTGCTAAATTATGTTAGCATCCAACAGGTGTATGTTCATTAACCTAAAGTGCTAAATTGTTTAGTTCAACTATTGTCTATTTTATGCATTAGTAATTTATTTTTTCCATTTAATACTAATAAATAATTTTATTCTTCTTATGAAGATAAATGTAATTATTTATTTATTTTATGCGTACAATATATATATAAATTAAAACTAATCAATAGATGGTTAATTTGATATATTGTATATAAATAATTAAAATAAATTAAATAATTATTATCTATTGAAATACTTGTAATTTAAAGTTAGTAATTTTTTTGTAATTTTAAATAAAAGACTACGGAAAATAGAAAGTTTGAAGAAAAAAATTATACCTTATAAATTACTTCTAGAATATGAAATGATATTAAAAAATAATTAATGCTTCTAAAAAGAACCATAAATATTCAATATATTTATCGTTATTACATGACTAATTATTTTAGATTGCAAGTAATTAAAATCTATCAAAGTCAAATGAAAAGTCATAAAAATTGGCCACATAGGATTCCGAGACGTGCGGGCGGACCATTTAGGCTCAACACGTTCGAAAATTATATATGGGGGTAATTTATATATAGAATAATTCTAATTAATCCACACAATTTTATATTTAATTAAAGAATAATAAAATAGGCCTCAACATGTAGTTGCCAAATTTTTTTCCCTTTGTAGCATTTAATTCCTCTTATATATATATATATATATTACTGTCTTTCATAAATTAATTATTTAATTGTTAATAATGAAGTTGATCTTTAAAAAATGATCAGAAGAGTTAAGGGCATTATTTTCACTTTTGCCCAGGGCCTAAAATTACTAAGGACCGGCTCTGGTCAAATCGATATATTAGTAAATTGATATTATTATTCAAGGGTCATAAAAAAACAAAAACACAAGGTGGGGAATTATGACCTACGTGATCTGGGACAATCACGTTCCGCAAATTTAGGCGACATTTGGAGCATTCTTTCAACCATTCAAATCCTGTTCATTTATAAAATGATTAATTTTAGATAGAAAAAAAAAACAAAGAATTAATATAATATATATATATACAGATGGATCCAATGAGTCCACCTCTTAAAATGTGGACGTGAGACTCAATCTTAGCCACTCATTTTGTCTAGATCAAGATTTTATGTTAATCAATAAAAATATACAAAAATTAAATAATAAAAATAATTAATAATTGACACCGTCGTTGACCGTTGACTCCGGCGTTGACTATTGACTTCCGGCGTTGACCATTGATTTCCGGCGTTGACCGTTGACTTTCGACGTTGACCCGTTGACCTTAGTATGTATCATGTATGAAAGAATAAATAAAGACAACTAACCTAGCAATTAGACATAACTAACCTAGAAACATCAGACAACAAACCTTACAACTACATTTAACTGACCTAGCAACTACATTTAACTAACCTAGCAACAACAGAAAACTAACCTAGCAACAACAGACAATTAACCTAGCAACTACTTAGAACTGACCTAGCAACTACATAGAACTAACTTACGAACAAGATAGAACTAACCTAGCAACAACAGACAACTAACCTAGCAACTAGACATAACTAACCTAGCAACAATATAGAAATAACCTACCAACAAAAGACGATATACACTATTGTATCTTGATCGTTGATATTTTGGGCCCCCGACTTTGGGGTCCTGATCTATGTACAGGTTGGGGATCCAACCCAATCCCCCACCCTACCGGGGCGCTGTTTAAAAATAACCTACCAACAACAGACAACTGACCTAGCAACTAGACATAACTAACCTAGCAACATCGGACAACTAACCTAGCAACTAGCAAGAACTAATAACTAACCTAGCAACTAGACATAACTAACCTAGCAACATCAGACAGACAAAAAGAAAAAAATGCTCTCACTTCTCTCTACATTTCTCTCTCTAGAATTTGTTCATTTCATCCCCACCGTCAACCTCCCTTCCGCCACCGCAGCCACCATATAGACGGCCCTTCGATCGTCGCCGCCGGCGGCCAGCCGCTGGCTGCCGGGCCTTCGTATTCCTCGCAGCAATGGCTCCACCATCAACCTCCCCGTCACCCAACCTAACACCAGCTAACCACATCCAAGAATCGGTCAAATGCTCAACGCCGCCGGTCAAATGCTCGCCGACTGCTCAAAGCACGTCGCCGGTCAAATGCTCGCCGATCCCTCAAAGCCCCGCGGCCTCAGCTTCGACAGACCTAGAAGCTCTTCTCGCTATGCAGAATTCAAGAACACTATCATGGCTATTTTGAGGAGCAACCCTCATCGTGTTTTGGAAACAGGAGAAATACCAACACCAAACACACCAACCATCGCCGGCGATCCCTCTACAGACGGCAAGAAAACTCAGTCATCCTCTCAATTAGATGGTGCGTCGGGTCCAGCGCAACTCTCAAGAGATAATAGCTCCATCAGACCCGACCATACCGGAGTTCCGACCATATCCCGACCGTCAGCAGCCCCGGAGATAACGGTCAGTTTTGGTTCTCTGCCGCCGGCGAACCTACCGAACCTATCGGCAGCTTCTCCCTCGTCGAAGGTCTTTGCCCCAAACGAGATCTGTACACTTGGAGGCGATTCTTTGGAATTCCCAAACCCGCAGCTCCTCGACACAAACCCTCAGCTCAGTGGTGGACCACCTTCGAGGCCCATTTCCCAGGCCCAATTGTTCCCTCTCCCAAATCAACCCCAGGCCCAATCCTTTCATGCCCAAACCTCAGCCTCCAAAAATCAGCCTTCCAAACCTCCTTCTTTGGGCCTAACAACCCACGGATCTGCCCCATCACAGCAGGCCACGACCCAACCTAATCAACCCACTCCATTACAGACCATCTCCCCTAAGGACGGAACTAATATACGCCAGCATCAAGCTATCGCCACCTCTCATCACGCTGAACTCATGCCGACGGCGCCGGCGCCGGAATCGTCACAACCGTTGCCGGCCGGCGGCCAAGCCGGGACTACCACGGAGTCGAATTTCACGGCAGAAATCCTCGGGCCCCGACCAAACGCACCGCATCCGGCCATCCATCACGCCGGAGCTGCAATCCCTCCGACCACACCTCCGTCCGAAACCACGCAACCGAATGTCATTTATGTGGGAGCAGAAGTATCGGTGAAACCAAATACGATGCTCACACCACACCTCCCCGGACCTTCACCGAACGGGACATCACCGACGGGTCCCCCTAAGTCTAACCCCGCTGCAGCCGGGCCCCCACCGACCACCTCCACGGGCTCACTCTCCTTCCGAGAAGCCATCACGGGGAAGAAAAATGGAGACACGGGTGCCCCTAGTCCGTCGCCAAAGGATTATACCTTTGACGGGAATTACGAGCATGCTTGCGGGACAATTATCCGCTTGGAGGAGAACAAAGTAAAGGCCTTATTCACTGATGCCGAATCTGCCGCTCTCGCAGGTAAATTAGCTAACACCCTGATCTTTAAGTTTTCATATGCTATCCCCGCTCCCCGAGATATATCTGCTGGGTTAGGAAAACTGGGATTTAAGGGTAGAGTGTCGTCGAAGTGGTATAATTTCAACCACCTTTTAGTCTCGTTTCTCCTCCCCGAGGACAACAACGAGGTCTGGCTTAAGACTTCCATTCATGTGTGTGGATGCCCAGCTAGGGTATTCAAATATTATGCCGGGTTTAACCCGAAAACGGAGGCGCCGGTCGTCCCCGTATGGTGCCGCCTTCCCGGCCTCCCACCCCACCTTTACGATCGTGCAGCCATTACTACACTTGCTAAGTGTATTGGGCAGCCGATTCATATCGACGCACCGACGGCCCTTCAAACGAGGGCTAACGTGGCGCGTTTTTGCGTCGAGATAGATCTGAGAGCGGAGCTCGTTCATGAGATTGAGATTGAACAGGGCTCGGAGTCTCTTGTTCAGCGGGTGATCTATGAGAAGATCCCCGCGTTCTGTACCTCGTGCAACCATGTGGGTCATGTTGCGGCAGATTGCTACATCAGTGGCAATAAGCCACGACCCGCTCTCCCGCAGCGCCATCGTGCGAACCAGCAGGGAACCTCCACCAGCCGGAGGGACCCGAAGGGAAAGGGCAAAAGCCCAATCCGCGTGCCCGAGACCCCAAAGGGGTCTAAGGATAAGGGCAAGGCTGTGATGGTTGATACTGCCCAAACTGGGAAGGATGCTCATCCTGACCAGCCTAAGCAGCTGGCCTTAATTGGACCCAAACCCAAGTCTACGGGCTTTCTCCCTAGACAAACCTTTCAGACGGCCTTCAAGGCCAACCACTCATATTTCGCTATCCTCTCGCCAGAGGCAGAGAAGGAAGATATACCTTCCTCCAGCGGGCCACCTAAGATCACCGATCTGACACTTATGGATGACGATGACCTCCTTGGAGACGACATGGACCAGTCGGACGCCACGGCCAAGGGAGAGTCCATCCACCTATCCGATGATAGTGCACGCGATGCCCGTCTTATGACCGTGCATGCATCTAGCCCAGGCCGAGCCTCGGATTTGAGGGCCCCTGCCGCCACCGTTCCCCCGAAAAGGGATGAGTCGGCCCATCCCATCCCCGCAGAGATTGGGAGCTCGGTCGATCTCATAGCCACCTCCCAGCCTCTCCCTAGCGGCGAGCACCCGAGTGCTCTGCCTGCTGGACTCCCTCTTTCACCCATCCCCGAGCAGATATGCGGGCTTAACCGCGCGCAGCATGATGTCTCGTGCGAGAGCTTCGCCTCTTCTGCTTTTCTTCACCTTGACAGACAGGAGACAGCCCCGGATATGGGGCAACCCGCTAGTGCTGCTTTAGGTCAGTCTGTCCAGCCAGATTACTCACAGGCCACGAGTACATATCGAGGTCGACAGACCTCGAAGTCCAGAGCCACACAGTGCACGAGACGGCGGACGACCTCCCCTGCTATTGGACCTTTCCGTCGCTCGACACGACGGTCGATCCCCCCTTCTTTAGGTGACCCGAATCAGCCTCGCCATAGGCGGACTACGTCCGGTGGCTCTTGCGACCGTTGATATGTCCATTACATCCATTACTTGGAATGGCCGTGGCCTGGCGAACAGGGCTACCCTCTCTCACCTTCACTCTCTCATTCGTGACCACAGAGTCGATTTTGTTGGCTTTATTGAGCCGATGATTCGCACTCCTTCCCTTGACCATTACTCGCGTCGCCTGGGATTTCACTTGGGCATGGGTAATACTTCTCACAAGATCTGGTTATTCCACTCGCGTGATTACACTTGTCGGGTCCTCCGCGACACCGATCAGGTGCTTCACGTAGAGATTTCTGCTGCACACCTCTCGGAGCCCATCTTTCACACCTTGGTTTATGCCAAGTGTACTAGGGTCGGGCGATATGATCTTTGGGACACCCTGCGTGAGATTGCCGAGAGTATGGAGGGATTGCCATGGATGGTTAGTGGTGATTTCAATATCTTTCTACACCCCAATGAGCGTGTGGGTGGCCGCACGGACCGATCCCGAGAGATGTGGGATTTTGCGCAGACTGTGGCGGACTGCGAGTTGCTTGATGCTGGATGCGAGGGTGAGCCCTTCACGTGGGTTAGGGACAACCTCAAGGAGAGGCTCGACCGTGCTTTGATTTCTGAAGCGTGGTCGAAGGTGTTTGCGGTCACGACCGTCACGCACCTCACTCGATCTGGGTCTGACCATTCACCCCTCCTCATTAGATGTCGTTTTTCGAGCACTCATCGCCGCGCTTCCTTTAGGTTCCAAAACATATGGGTTCGCCACCACTCCTTCCATGACACTGTCAGGGATTCCTGGCTCCAGCCGGCTGGGCTCTTCGGGATGCGCAATCTCGAGGCGAAGCTCGACAGACTGCGGCGTCGGTTGAGACAGTGGAACTGGGATGTTTTTGGAAACCTTCATCACCGCCTTACTGCAGCTCAGAGTGCGCATGCGTCGGCTGAGCGGGCCTATGACCTGGATCCCACTCCGGAGAATAGGACCGCCATGCACCGCTGCCACGCCGAGTACCAGCTCCGACTCCTTATGGAGGAGGACTTCTGGAAGCAGAAGGCGGCCGTTCGCTGGGTGGCCGAGGGCGAGCGGAACACTAGGTTCTTCCAGGGTTACGTTAGGCAGAAGCGTGCTAAGTCGTACATCCATAGTATCGAGGCTGATGGGTCATCCTTAACCCAGGAGGCTCAGATTCGGGAGTCGGCTGTTGCTCACTTCCAGACCCTCTTCACCTCTGACAGAGGGTCCCTCGTGGCCCCGAACGCTTCTTTTTTCCCCACCATCCCTCCTTCGGTCGATCTCATTGGCCTCTGTGAACTCCCGAGCAGGGAGGAGGTTAGGGATGCTGTATTCGGGATTGATCCCAACAGCGTTTCTGGCCCGGATGGTTTCTCCTCTCTCTTCTATCAGGTCTGCTGGGATATTGTCGAGACTGACGTCCAGGAGGCGATGTTGGATTTTTTCTCCGGCCACCGGATGCCGGATTCCTTCACGTCTACCTCTGTCGTCTTGATCCCCAAACGACCCAACCCGAGCTCTTGGTCCGATTACAGGCCCATCAGCCTGTGTAACGTGACCAACAAGCTCATTTCGAAGATGCTTAACGGCCGTCTTTCCCCTCTTCTCCCCTCTCTCATCTCTCCAAACCAGAGTGGATTCGTCAAGGATCGGGTCATTAGTGATAACATCCTTCTGGCCCAGGAGATGATCCACGACATCTCCCGAGCGGACTGGAAGCGGGCTCCGAATATCGCGCTGAAGCTAGACATGGCTAAGGCGTATGATAGGGTTGAGTGGCTGTTTCTTAGGGAGGCGTTGGCTAGGATGGGATTCCCTGAGCGTTGGATCAGCTTTGTGGAGGCGTGTGTGGAGCATCGCACGTTCTCGGTCCTGATTAATGGCAGCCCCACCGATTTCTTTCCCTCCTCTAGAGGCCTTAGACAGGGCGACCCCCTTTCCCCTTCCCTTTTCGTTCTTGCGGCGGACTACCTCTCTCGCTGCCTTGACGGCTTCATCCGCGACTCTCCCCATATGACCTATAGCACCTGTGGCTATGGTCCTACCGTCTCTCACCTCTCTTATGCGGATGACATCATTATCTTCACCCGGGCGGATGATGATGGACTGGTCGAGCTTATGAGCCTTTTGGAGCACTATGGCTTGGTCACCGGTCAGCTGGTTAGTGTGCAGAAGAGCACCTTCATCCTTTCATCTGCCACAGTGGACAGGTGGGCTCAGCGGGTCCACGACATTACTGGCTTTACGCGTGGCGACCTTCCCATTACCTACCTCGGGGTCCCTTTATATAAGGGCAACCTCACGAGAGCGCTCTTTGCGGGCGTCAGACAGAGGATGATCGACAGGATCTCTGGTTGGTCGCATAGATATCTTTCTTTCGATGGTCGGCTAGCGCTGATCAAGAGCACTCTTAGCTCTCTTCCGTTCACTTGCTTATGGTCCTCGACCCCCTAGGTCTACTCTTGACGAGCTTGACCAGATTATGGCTCGTTATTTCTGGGGTTATGAGGACGGGTTTGGGAGGGGGAGACGTACTCACTGGGTGAGTTGGGACTCTATCTGCCGCCCCCTCCCAGAGGGTGGCCTTGGCATCCGCCGCCTTAGGGACATTGTTACAGCTTTCTCATACAAGCTGTGGTGGCGCTTCAGGGAAGGAAAGTCGCTTTGGGCTCAGTACCTTCGCGGCAAGTACTGCCCTAGACGTGCCAACCACCCTTGTTGGGTCACGGCTGTTGATCATGATAGCAGACAGTGGCGGCGCCTCACTAGGGTCGGGAGGCGAGCCCAGGATCACATCTTTTGGGTTTTGGGCGGGGGCGATGTCAGTGTTTGGGATGAGTGGTGGGTAGGTGATAGGCCGTTGTCTAGGGATAGGCAGGTGTCGCATTCCCCCTACCTGCTCGTGAGCGACCTCTGGACGGACGGGTCGTGGGATAGGGGGAAGCTTGATAGGGAGTTGGGGGCTGGTGCGGGTTTTAGTGAGCAGTTATTAGATCAGATCCAGCAGATCCCTATCTCGGGGGACGGTTCAGATAGCATGAGGTGGAGACTTACATCATCAGGTGTGTTTTCTACTACCTCGACTTGGGAGCAGATAAGGCTGAGGGATCGGCCTAATCTCCTCTTCGGGGCTATCTGGAGTGATCTTTTTACACCTACTATTTCAGTATTCCTTTGGCGCCTCCTCTTGCGCCGGATACCCGTCGATACTGTGCTACACGCGAGGGGGATCTCCTTCCCCTCTCGATGTGTGTGTTGTTCTGAGACTGGACGTCATGAGACCGAGACCTTTACCCATCTTTTTCTAGAGAGTGAGATTGTGAGGAGAGTGTGGGAGCATTTTGCCACTTGGACTCATATATCCCTACCCACCACATACAGTTTCTTTGAGCTCCTGAGTTTTTTCTCACAGAGCACACACCTTAGACACGTGGGCTTCCTCATTCTTTGTCTGATCCTTTGGTTCACCTGGACAGATAGGAATAGTGCAAAGCATAGGGATACTACTTTTATGTTTTCTCACATTGTTTTGCAGGTTGAGAGACACATTTCACTCCTCATCTCATTGGACAGGCTCACGGCCCGAGACTGGACAGGCTGCACGCCACCACAGCGCTACATGGTGGCCCCACCACCGCCTGTTCGGACTCCTCGGGCCAGAGCTGTTGTTTGGCTTCGACCTAACTCTCCTTGGGTCAAGCTGAACACTGATGGCTCCTTCGATCGCCACACTGGAGTTGCCGGAGGAGGAGGCTTGATTCAGGACCATAGCGGCGCCCTCATCACCGCCTTTCACGCGTCCATTCAAGCCTCCTCGAGCTACGACGCAGAGATTCAGGCACTACAGATTGGCCTTCAGATAGCTGCCCACATCTCTAGTCATATATGGATCGAGCTGGATGCTGCGGCTGTCGCCACCCTCCTGACTTCGGGCCATCAGGGCTCGTGGCAGATTCAGCACCCGCTTCTGCGCATTAGAGATCTACTTCAGTCAGTCCATCACAGGATCACGCACATTTTCCGTGAGGGGAACAGACCGGCTGATTACCTGGCCAGCCTTGGCGCCACCATACCAGGCATACATACATTCCAGACCGACACTGCTCCACTCCGCCTTCGCACTCTTGTACGGATGGACCAGCTTGGATACCCAGCGTTCCGCTTTCACTAGTATAGGATTTCTATTTTCATTAGTATAGACTTATCTCGGGCATCTGTTAGCCCGAAGATCAACTTTATTATGTAGTTTTTTTTTGTTTCTTTTTCATTTTTTTGGTTTTTTCTTTTTTGTTTTTATGGTTTTTGTTTTTGATTTTAGACTATGTAGACCTCTGTATCTGGTTCGTTGACATTTTGGGCTCCCGTTTTTGGGGCCCTGATCTATGCACAGGTTGGGGATCCAGCCCAATCCCCCGCCCTTCCGGGGCGTTGTTGTAAAAAAAAAAAAAAAAAAAAAAAAAAAAAAA